TCATTGTAAAACAGGTTAGTCATCAATTTCGATTCATAAAAAGTACCATACTTTTTTCATAAGACTGTAGTTGCATTACTTTTCTCCATGATTGGTAAAAGTTATAGGCAAAATATCTTCAAAATTAATTTTAAATACAGTCGATTCTTATTATTCATAATAGTTATATTCTGTAAAATTCCTGCAAACACTGAATTAGTGAATACTAAACTATTGGTCCTACAGAAAATACAGGTTAAGCTACTGTGAGCTTTAGGTCACATTTTCATCAACCAATCCATACATAACCTTGTTTTATCTGTATTTCTATTTAAAGACATTTATTTAATATAAATTGTTGTTTTATAAACATTGAACCTATAGCCAATAACACCATAACTCATATCTGGACAAATTTTATCTAACAGAAGTATATCTTCCCTAAGGCATATGACATCCTTCTTGTACTTAGGAAGACTATACAGAACTTTAAGTTATTTGGGAGCCATTTTAAAATGGCAAAATCACTAACAAAAAGCACAAAAATATGAAAAACGTGACACTATATATAGACTGCATAAAGGCCACTTGCTTACAGTATGACAGCTACAACAAGGAGGCTGAGAGTGTTGCCTTTTTAGACCTCAACTGGGAATGTGCACATCAGGCAACTCAAAACAAATGACCGTGAAAGCACTGCAATTGTTGATTTGGGGGTTACAATTAAATTAAAGAGCAAGTAGGTGAATTTGCAAATACTGTGTCTTTGAATAATAAGATTGACTGAATGTTGAAAGCCTTAAAAATGAAATGTTTAATAATAACCTTTATAGTAATTTTATTATTTCTTATTTGATTAAGAAACAATATTCCAATAAGATTTTCCATCTTTTCAAATGTTTGGCAGTTTAAGAAATAGAATTTTGGAAAATGTTCTAAAACTTTATGCATATAGAATGCATTTTGATATCTAACAAACATATTGCCAAAATAGAAAATTTGAATTTTGATTGGAATTATTTCAAAATCTTTACCAGATTATCCCAGAAGAGGTTCAAACAATTGGTAGAGAGATTGCTGCAATTTATTTCTTTACGCCTGTTTCCTGCAAAGCCTGAAGAATTTCCACCTATAACAAAGTGTTCCTGGTGGATCCCATCAGCATCTAAAGTGTTGGCTTTACTTAGTAGGTTTTATTCTATCATCTTTACTTTTCTTTTGTTAAATATTTCCATAAGTACTATAGAGGCATTCTTACATTTAAAATATTCCTTCGAAGTGAAGAGTTGTAATTTATTTTTATCTTCTGTTTTGATAATGGAGTTCACAGTTAAATTAATAACCATGAAAAAGCTTTAAGTGTTTTATTGGGCAGTATTCTGTGTTATGGCTCAATTGCATATGACCTGCTAAGTAGCGATTCCTAAGAAAATAAGAACTTCCATGAATTCCTGGAGGACCCCAAGGAGAAAACACACTGATGGGGGAATAGTATGAGTAGACGCCATCTGCATACTCCCTTTACTGTACTGTTGTAATCACCATCACGAGTTTTTTTGAAAAAACAAATTGGTGCTGCATTGGACCACAATCGTAAAACTACCTTTTCCATTTGGAGCTACAGTTGCTTAAAATAGGAATTTCTAGATAAAGGCTACTTGGTGGACATTAAAATGTTCTTACTGTTAGAGTGAATCTTGCACATGTTGGAAGAGATCATTATGTTAGAATTTATCTTTACAGATACTGCAAACAGTTTGGCTCACCCTCCCCTTATTCCTTATACTGATTTCTATAACTCTACATTGGATCACATTGATCTCATGGAAGAATACCACACCTGGCAGAGCTTTGGAAACTCTCACAGGTACTATCAGAAGCTCATTTGATTACTCACCTAAATGAAATACTATTCAAAATAATGAGTGGACTTTAAGTTTGTTTATAAATTTAAATACACACATACTTTTACATATAAACTTTCATAGTTTAGATAGTTAGACTTGAAATATTATATTTCTTAAAGCATTTTCTTTTTCTGTTACATTTTGAATTTGTATACATGTTAATTTGGTTTGGGTTTGATTAATAGCATCTTTTTAAGAAGAGAAAGGTTCTATCTTAATATGCAGTTTCTTAATAACTTCTTATTCTATATGCTATTGTCCAGCATAGGGGTCAACAAAATTTTTCTCTATAAAGTACTAGATAGTAAATATTTTTGGCTCCTTGGGCTATACAACCTCTGCTCTATTGTAGCACAAAAACAACCTTAGACAATATATAAATGAATGGGTGGTCCTATGTCCCAAAAAACTTTATTTACAAACAGAGGTGGCAGGCCATATTTGTCCCATGGGCCATAGTTTGCCAGTGCCTGATTTAACACAGTGATCACACATATGTACACACACACACATACATTCTCTCCTTTTCTCTCTTATTCTGTAGAAAAAGTAGTTGACCTTCAACATACAATATTAAAAAGAATGGATGTTAAAGAGAAAGAACTTCACCACAAATGATTTATTATAATAGTAGTATAACAGACTTTCAAAACACCTGACCAAATTCTTTAATACACTATACCATATCTCCATACCTACAGTTTAGATTAAACCAGCAAGACTATCCCAAACATAATTTATTCCCAAACCATGAGATATCCTGGAGAGTACCTTCATTCTAAAGGAGACTGAGTAAGAGATATGATGTAGATATAAGTGGCCTCAAAACCCCAGATTAGTTTAGAAATTGGTTCAAGCTTCTGGGACCCTTTCTACTAGAATTGGCCTAAAATAAAGAATTGCCTTCTGAACATATCAGTCCATATCTGAACCCTCAAAACTGAAGAATTCCATTTCTGAGGACCTTGTTCAGTCTATGTATATTTTCTTGAGAAAGTTTATTATACGAAGACACTTTTTTCTCCCACTTTAATATAATTATAATATTTAGACAAAACCACAAAACAACTCCAAGAATTACTGTGCATAGTTCAGTGACATCTCTTAATACAGAGCTCCTGCAACCATGGTGCCACAGCACTGGTGTACCAAGAATGAGTTACAGAGTTCTGATCCTATGATCCCTTCTGCCCTTGGGAAGCCAGTCTGGACCTAGAAGGGGACCTGGAGCCCTAGGGAAAGTCACCTTTGGCCATGAGCAGCCTCATATGTTGAGTGTGTCATTCAAATAATATCACTTTTTTATATGCCATGACTAAAGAAAGGTTGAGATACACTGTTTTAAAGTACATAACAACCAGTCTTTATCCTACTAAGTTCATTGCACTTATCCTAAGATCATTATACTTCTTTTCATTTCTAAATTTTTACTTAGCACTTAGTGATTCAAAATTATTACACATTAGTACTGAACAACTCTTACTCTGTGTGTGTGTGCGTGTGCGTGTGTGTGTGCGTACGTGTGTGCATGCGTGCGTGTGTGTGTGTGTGTTTTAACAGTTTTGATCCAAGGGGAAAGCTATTTCATTTTCATAGCCCTACCTCCTTTTTCCTCATACTGCCTTCATGGCACCCAGTGGTCATAGATGCTTTACTTGACTATACTCAAATGGATTCCAGCTATAACTGTTGGATTCATCACAGCCACTTCTCATAGGAGTCTAACTCCTGAAGTGTCATTGCTGCCAATGTACTTCTCTCTGTGTAGTTTGTGGCTTTCTTATGTAACACCGAATGAGCTCTGACCCAGGAAAAAAGATATTTTTATAACCTTTGATCATAATGTTGTATCTTTACAAATACATATCATTTCATATTATTACACCATTAAGGACAGTGGTAACAGCCATACTTTTTTATGATTTTTATTTTGTTGGTCTTAAATTTATTACTTTGCTTTTTTACTGTGATAGTTATTGCTAGATTTCCTAATTTCTGAAGCTTAATCATCAGAAATATCCATATAAATGGATTCTTATGTTAATTTCTATACTTGAGCTTTCTGTCTTAATCCTCCCTCATCAACACTTCTGTCTTCTGGTTCTGGTATTGGCCATATTTTTTACAAGTAGTGATGTACAGGTGACTATACATAAACTGAAATTATTTGTATAAACAATATAAGTGATTTATTTGCACACATTTCAGAACATCTAAAGGCACTGCACATCTAGTATTGATTCGTACTTCACAGGGCTGTGGGGATTAAAAGAAATGATGCATATAAGAGCTTTTGTAAATGATAAGAAACAATACAGAAGTAATGTTTTATAGTGTTAGAAGGGGTAACTTAGATTCCTTTAGTATAATTTTGCTTCAGATACCCCATTTTGCTTTTTCTGTTTTTATTCGTTGAGCAGGTTTTCCTTCTGTCAGTACCCATTCGTTATTTCTATAGCTGCAAAAAAAATCATCATTCAAAGAGACTCAGAACAACAGATGATAAGCATTGCAAGGGTAAGCCAGCTACTTAAACATATTTATGCTGACTATAATCAATATAGTAAATAATTTAATGTCTTGTGAATTGTTGTAGCATAATAGGAAATGTTAAAAGTAAAATTCATATTACATTCCCTCCGAAAGTGTTTAAATCTGTTTATGATACAGGAAAAAGATAACTCTCATCAACTTTTTATTATGTTATAAATATAGCAGGAAGATTAAATGCCTCCCATGGATCCAAAGTTCTGGGAACTTGTTGGACATCATTTAGTAAATGCCATATCACAGCTCTAGGATAACTAGCACAGCACCGCTTACCCTTGCTACACTGCAGTAAGGCGAAGGAGTGTCCTTATAAGCAAACCACTCAAACCACTGAAATGTTTTCCAGGTTTTATGAAAATCAAATAGAAACAACCACAAAATTAGAAGATGTAACAAAAAGTATAATCTTGAAAAACGGAGAAGTATGTCCAAAGGTGAAAAATGTTTTATTGATTCTCAGGCAACCAAAATGCATGGTGGCCCACAGAACCTGGTAGCAGTCAGGCTGGCTTTAGGCAAATTATGGAGCAGGATGAAGTTTATCTCTGGGCCTGTCCTTACCATTCCCTACCACTTGTGTTTCAGCACAGCGCAATGAAATTATGTACTTTATCTAATAGATATCAGATTAAGTGAGCTTTTTTTAAATTAGAGCACTAGACTATACATTTAAATGCCCATATAGTCTGAGTATCTGATTTTGTTACGTGATTACTCACAACTTTAAAAATTAGAGGGAAGGGTGGCTGTAGTCTTCTTAAAATAAAGAGACTCATAGAGTAAAAAGAAATGATTTCCATGTCTCGTCCAAGAATATAAAAAGAATCCTAATGCATAAATTATAACACTTCAAAATAGCATAAAAATAAGAATTGTTTGTTCTTCAGTAATTTACTTCCCAGAAGGTCTTTTTTCTATCACGGAGTGAGACAAATGATTTGTCTTCCCAGAGTCAGCTTACACTGAATATGGGAATATGAGAAGAAATTTTATTGCCTATGTGTACCAAGGGAGTTCCATAGCCACACTAACCCCCTTAAAAGTACATTAAAACAGGTATATTTAAATGCCAGAATTATTGCTTAATCTTGGGTAGATATTGGCTCAAATATTAGTCTATATAGCAGTCTTTTTGACTTTTTTTTATTAATTACAGTTATGCAATTTCATGTGCCTTATTACTTTTTTTTCTTACCTCGGGCTATGATTTTTAATATTTGTAAGGAAAAATCTAAAGAGCTAGAAGTTTATCTAAGCTCCTCCGAGAAGTTTTCTGTGTCACTCATACTTTAAGATATCAAATATCTTCTTTTATGGAACTTTTCTTCCAATTAAAAGAAGGGGAGTAGCAACTGTAGATTGTGTCGCAGGCTAGTCTTCCACAGAGCATAGACACAAATGAGTGGAGATTGAAGAGTCAATTAGCATTATCAGTTCTTACAAGTGTTTCCTAACATTTTAACTTGTAAACTACGATATAACTTGGAATTAGTGACCGATAACTATTTTGACACTAGGACAGACTTACAGGTAGTTAATGTAAGCAAGAGCTTATACAGTATAATATAAAGTTGCAAAAGAGATTCCTCAAGCTAAAAATAACTTTATGTCTAAAATTCTACCATTGTTGGGTTATTTCTTTCATTTGAAGTACTTTCTATTAAATATGAATTCCTAATAGGCGGAGTAGCCACTAAGCCTTGTCTTCCATTATCATCCTAGTATAAATTTGTGTGTTGAATATTTCCAATGTGACAGCTTCCCAGGAGTTAGATTAGGAACAGAAGATGGGAAAGGCTAGAAAAACAGTTCCACAACACAGAATGCTATCCCAGAAAGGTAGATCTTTTTGAGCACGAAAGGGAAGACCCTGAGAAGAAAAAACTATTGGAAGCATTTGGAATTGGATATTAGAGAGATGAAAAGGGCTCTGCATTAGTCTTTTATTATAGTAATCTACAAAATCATGAAAGTAGCCTTATTATATAGATTTGAGATATTAAAATTTTATATTTTTATATAAAGCTACTAAAGCAAATTGCTGCATGTATATAAAGTGTTTGAAATGTTAGTCTTTAATCTGCACAATTTGTTTTCTTTGCTACCAAAGAAGATGAGGTAGTCTGAACAAATTTAGATAAATATGCAAGCAGGTAGACTTTACATGATAAATGATATTATATATTCATTATATTTTTTAACATGTTAGTTTTTACATACTCATCGCTTATATTTTGGGGGGGGGGAAACATGAAAAACAGATGTTTTTAAATCACCCATATTTTCATCACCCAAACATAGCTATTGTTAGCATTTTGGTAAATGTTCTTTTGATATTTTTTATCTATATTATCTTTAAAAGGCAACAGAGTCCAGTTTTGTTCCCTGCTTTTTTCAGTTGTTCCTCTTAAACGTTTTCCATGTTATGTACATAGTTTTTATGACCCTCATTTTTGATAGTTGTATTATACTGCATTAGATAGAAACATGTTTAGGATATTTCTAGTTTCATTTTTTTCCCCTTCTTTAATTCCCACACCCCGCCCCCGCCCCGACCTGTGGATGTTGCCTTTTCCCCTTAAGAATTGGATCTGTGAAGGCGGGGTGTCCCCTCCCACACGCTCGCTCGCGGTGTGCACCAGGGTCTGGTGCACTTGCAGGCCTGGCGCACCCAGGGTATGGTCTGTGGCTCCACCTGGGGCACGAACCCTGGATCATCTGAGTGTAAAGCAGACGTGCAAACCACTACACTATGGAGCCACCCCACTAGTTTCATTTTTATAGGTAATGCTGTGATGAACATCTCACTGTATAAAATTCCTAGTAGTGGAATTATTGGGACAAAGGATATGAACATTGTTATTTCTGATATTGACAAACTACTTTATAAAAGTAGACTAACTGTGCTTTTAGAGTAAATTCAGTATCTAAAAAAGCATAAGCAAGTTTATCATCATCAGAATATACCTTGTTTCAATAATTCCCACTATATGTAGTTATTAAATAGAAAACCTTGCTATTTAAGAGACGACACACATGGAAACTATAATGCAACGCTCTTTACTATAGAAGGTAAATTATTTTTGGTCCTCCATTTTCGACCTCCTTTGGTTACCATTGTTCCAAAATGAAGTAATAATAGGCACTATCATAAATCAAAATTTGTATAATTGAGTTTATGAAATTATTTATATGAGAGATGGCATAGAAAAGAATATCAGTGATTTTTTTACTAGTGTTTAAATGTTTTAAATGAAATTATAGTTTATGTGAAAATATGTGCTTTCTATTTTAATTAGCAAAGTCTGGTGGATAAAGTATCTCGAAGACAGAGACCTGATATGAATATGTTATTTCTAAATATGAAAGTAAGGAGGACACATCTGGTTAGCGATTCTCTTGATGAGGTATAACTCATTTATTCCAAATGGTATTAATTGATTAGAGCTTTAAATAATTTCTACAATTCTAAAATCTTTATAAGCTGTCTTTTATTTCTGTATGTCAGTAAGTGTGCTTCTTTATATTTTGATATAATTAAAATCAGTTGTATTCACAGCTAAGGCTTATGTTCATTTTTATGTTTTTTAATGGTTTGTTAATTCCCTAGCAAAAGGATTTTATATAGAACTTACATGAGTAAATGTTTATGAATATATAACCTAGATTCTAGACCCATCTTTGTTACTGATTGTGTTTGTGATGAGTCATCTTCACTTTGCCAAGCCTCAGATTACTCATCTATAAAATTAGAGGTCTGATCTACAGGGTATATTGGGTCTACTTAGGGTCAGACATACTTTGATTGTATGTACATATATTATCGAGCTTCATGCATTTACAATTCTTCAGCTATATTTAGATAATGGCTGATTTCGTTGTGTGATTTTTTTAAAGTTCAGTGTTGAAGGCAAGTTAAAGAAAAGAAAATGAGCTATTTTATATTGTAATCTGCTAAATTAAAATCTTGGAGGCAATGACACAGAGAGGCAGTAACCTTGGGCAAGGTGTCTGACCTCTCTAATTCTGTTTATCTATACAACATAATAATTCCTAGTTCACACAGTGTTTGGTAGATTTATTGGATGGGTGCATGAATGGGTGCATTGATGGAGTTTTGTGACATTGTAAATAAGATACAGACTGCCTAACACATTTCCCAGAATTTAAAAAGTTAATTTCCTTTTTAATGCCCTTTGTTCATCTCTACTTTATAATTTCTTCAAATAGTTAACCCGGAAAAGAGCAGACTTGAAAAAGAAATTGAAAGTTACATTTGTAGGTGAAGCTGGTTTGGATATGGGTGGTCTGACTAAGGAATGGTTCCTTCTTCTTATTCGCCAAATTTTTCATCCAGATTATGGTGAGTATTTAATTTTTATAAGCAGTATTTTTTCATAATTGTTAGATTCAAGTAGTTGCTCTTATTCTTAAGCTACCCTATGGTTTTACAAATTTTTTTGTCAATCATAAATCTTGAATAATTTTTTAAGGACTGCTATTTACATTTTAAAACCTATTTGACCAAAAAGATGATCGAAATGTTCGTTATCTTATTGGGAATCTTACACAATATGTATGAAGACTGTACATTTGCAAGGGAGCATCTACATCTTTTCTGGATAATCCAAATGCATGAAAATTTGTCATTGAAAAAAAGAACATTTGAAATTAAAAAACAAAACTATAGTTTGCTCTACACTAATATTTGAAGCCTCTTTCATTAAATGAGCCATTTTAATGAATAAGAACTCATTAATTTTTTAGATAAAAATAAACCTTTGAAATTTAAATTTGGTTTTATTTAAAGAAAACTCCTATATAATCTTTAGTATCTGTTAAGTGTTTTTCTTCAGAGGAGAGTTTTAAGTGTTTTTCTTATTTTTCTTTATTTTGTATATGTGTATATATATATATCATCTGTCTGGTACTGGTAAATAGAGATGACATGGATAAATTGAAATCTCCAGATAATCCTCAAGATTAATTTTGATCATAACTTATAAATTATAAAACTATAGTTTTTATGAAAGAAAACAGCTAATTAATTTAGTTTCTGTCTTTTTACCCCATGTTTCCACCCTTTGTTCAGGATACCAATGAACATTAAAATCCATGCTCTCTTTACATACATTTGATATATTTTAACATGAAAGATGGTCTGTAACAGAACTATTACTGTTTTGCTTCTAACAGATGAGCTATCATGTATATTTTTCCACTATGATTTTTAAATCAGTCATATTAATGAAATTGTTTCTCTTTTTTTCAGGCATGTTTACATATCACAAGGATTCACACTGCCATTGGTTTAGCAGCTTTAAATGTGATAACTATTCTGAATTCCGATTGGTTGGAATTGTATCCTTTAAACTTTCCACTAGGAGGTGCTAGTAGACTAGAGATTTTTTTAAACTATCTGAATTTTGGAAAACTGTTCTCATTAAGCATTTTTCCAAAGATTCTTGTTAAATTTACTAATAGATTTTCAATAATCTTTATTATTTGTGTTATTACAGCTGTGTAATATCAGCAGATTTAATTAATTGAAAGGAATGACTGAATTTTTTATATTTTTCTCTGAGAACCTTATCTCAAAATAAAAATGCTTATTTTCTATTTCAAATATTATCTAATTTATCAGAAAATCAAGACTTTTTTTAAAAGTATCTTTTCCATTCATAATGAAGTATTTTTCTGTTCTTTGTATATATTTCACTCAGTTTACTAAACTAAAATTGTGGAAATTAAATCTAGGTCTTAAAAATGCCCCCTGAATCCCAAGATATTCATAAAAATTTAAAAATTAATGGAACTGAAATATTTAAAGCATATGGCATTATTTTTATAGTATTTTTTAAATTAATCTCTATGCCATCTTCTGATCCCTAGTAGTTGTACTGGAGAGGGCATTTCTACATTAGCTTTTTTAATTCTAAGAAGTATGATTGTCTGAAGAAGAAGGGAGGAAAAAAGTAAATAAATGAGCAAGCACTGGAGATACATAGGTTAAAAGAGGGAAAAAATATCCACTTTTAAAAAGTTTACCATTTAGATGAGCAGATGACTACCAATACAAGGTAGTCTGTTCTCAGAGTCAAATGACCATTTTACATTGAGGAAAGGAGTTCTAAGATGGAAAAGATTCAGTGTAGTCTTCCCATAGGAGGTAGAGACATTTGAAAATTGAACCATTCTATCTGATTAACACAGGGCTGTAGAAAGAGTGGGAGAATGACTAGAAAGAAAGACTGCATTGAGCTGGACCTATTATAGTGCAATGTGTAGGTCCACCTGGTTGAAGCAGAAGGCACACTAGGAATTATGATACCATCAAAGGAAAGTTAAGAGCCCATCTTATGGAGGGCTTTGAATATGTATCTTTGTTGCATTTGTTGGATTAAATCTTGAGGAATGTATATGAAAAATGGGAGACAATGAAATAAAAGGTTATAGGGAGAAAACTACACATTGAGATAATAAACTTAAAATTTCATGCATATTTTCATGTCTAAGGGACCATAATGCCAAATTACACAATATAGAATGCTTAACAATTCTTAGACTTCTGTTTTTATTGTATTATTTACGGCAATCATTTGTTGAATGTTTTAACTTCACTGAAAGTCTGAGTCATTGATACATCTTACTACGCTATGAGCTGTTTGGATTTCATAATATATGTTTGTCATACTTCACATTCTTATCATGGCTTCGATTTGAGTGATATTTTGACTTTAATATTGGTATTGAAGTATTAGATCTTACTTAGCTATCACATTTTTAGGATTATGTTATACATAAAATAATGAATTTGCTAATTGCTTTCTGATGCAATAGACATTAATTTCTATTTAGTCATTACCCAAAAGAGCATATTAAGCATATTTACATGTGTTGCATATTTCAAGTTAAATTACAGTAAGTTCTCAGACTTTAAGTGAAATGACATATAATGAAACAAGTTTTACCACAGCTTAACTGATATATAAACAAGAGTTAAGTTCTTTTGGCATCTCATCAACATTATAACAAAACGACACTGAAGAAAACGTTACTCAAGGGCCTGCTGTAAATCTAAAACATCTCATTGTTAATATGTATTTACCGCATAAAAAAAAAACTGTAGAAAATAAGATTAATGCCCCAAAAGCATGATAATGTATAGGAAAAATATGAGGTAATAGTAGATGGTGATCATGTAGCACAGAGTTTTCAAATTCTGCTCTGTGCACCACATGATGCCTCAATGACTCCAGA